AGGAGTCCTGGGGGGAGGGTGGGGATGTAGCTCAAGCCCACCCTTTATACTTGAGACCTCTGGTCCAGAGAAGTGAAGAGTTCTGCTCAGTGTCACACCACTGGTCAGGGCAGATCGGAATCAGAAAGTAGGCCTTATTTCTTCATTAGAGTCTAGGAAGTGGCCAAGGGAAAGAGGCTGTGCTTGAGAAGGTTAAGGCCTATGACCCACCCTGCGTCATCCAAAGTAAACTAGGAAGGAAGTGTAAAGAAACCCAACAAAGGTCTGACATTTTTCCATGGTGACCACATTGATGCATTTATTAAAAATACAAAATGCTAATAATCCAAACCAGCCCTCTTCCCTTTTTTCCCCTTTGGGAGCCCTTGCACTGCATGACACGCACACTTGGACTAGGCCATTGGGAACTGCAGCTTGGACAAGGAACAGCCACAGCTTTGCCTGTACTCAGAGCAGGTCAAGTGCCATTAAATGCAGCTGGAAGCCAGGGCAGGGGAAGGGGTGGGAAGCTCCTGGAGAGCCCCCAGCTCTTCCCAGTTACTGACTGGCTCTGGAGGAGAGGAGCTAGAAGGCAGAGATACCTGAAGAGACCAACCTGGGGCACCACTGCCATCTGATGTCTTCCTATGGCCATTGCAGTGGTCACAGCCCCAAGCCCCGCGGGCAGCCTGGGAGCAGAGTGAAACAAGAGGGCAAAGAAAGCGTATGGGTGGAAGTTTTTATTTACCCTTGACAGTGGGTACGTGGGTGCTTTGTATGTCTGAGATACTTCATATTGAAGAAAAACATCCATATTGAAAAACTAAACAAAACAGAAATGGAAAATGAATCAACATGTACAAAGTAGCCACAGTATGGAGGAGCGGATTTGACTCTGCCTGCGGAAGAGCTGCCCTGCTCTGGCCAGCACTGGAAGGGACCGCCGCCTCTGTTTTGGGAGTGTGCAAGCAGGGGCTGTGGACTGGGCTTTGCACAACTTCCAGGAGTCATTGCTTAGATATCGGAATGACCAAGATCTTAAGGTCTTAGAATCATTGAGGTAATCCACCCCCATCCCGGCTGCCAGGTCACAGTCATACAGAGGCTGAGCATGCCCAATGCCACCCAGTTTTCCCCTGCTGCTGTTTCTGCCTCGCCTCCCTGTCCCTCCTCCACCCTACCCTAGCATGGGCAGGCTTTGTGTCCCAAGGTCACCAGTCACATATGTCCCACCACAGGCAGCCGAGCTTGTGAGCCAAGATCACACCACTTCTCTCCAGCCTGGGCAACAAGCAAGTCTCTGTCTCAAAATAATAATAATAATAATAATTTTACCTAATTAAAGTTCATATTTCAATGTAGTCAAATGTTCCAAAAATGTCCTTTATAGTACTTTTTTCGGTTTGGTCCAGGATCCCATCCAAGATCACACATTTCATTTAGTTGTCATGTCTCTTGAGTCTCCTTTAATCTGGACCAGTTCCTGGGCCTCTCTTTGGTCACGTATGACACTGATATTTATAAAACATGCAGGCCAGTAATTTTATAAAGTTCAACTTGGGCTTTTTCAATATTTCCTTTCCTTGTGTATTTCTTTTTTTCTTTTTTTTTTTGAGACAGAGTTTCGCTCTTGTTGCCCGGGCTGGAGTGCAATGGTGCATTTTTGGTTCACTGCAACCTCCACCTCCCAGGTTCAAGCAATTCTCCTGCCTCAGCCTCCCAAGTAGCAGGGATTACAGGTATGCGCCACCACACCCAGCTAATTTTTTGTGTTTAGTAGAGACGGGGTTTCACCATGTTGGTCAGGCTGGTCTTGAACTCCTGAACTCAGGTGATCCACTTGCCTCAGCCTCCCAAAGTGTTGGGATTACAGGCGTGAGCCACCGTGCCTGGCCGTGTATTTCTTGATTTCTTGCTTTGAGTGCCAGTGGCCCAGCCACTTCCTCAGGTCAGGAGCCAAGAGACCATCCTGAATCCATCCCTCTCCCTCACTCCCACCTACCCATCCATCACCAGATCCCAGCGCCTAGTGCTCTTCCCTCCCATGCCCCAGCTTCTGCTGCGACTATATCATCATTCCTTACCCATCATCTATCTTTGTCTTGCTCTCAACAATTACACGGCTTCACACTTCTCCCTTCTTAAACCCTCTATAGGCTGGCTGCTCAAAGGGTAGCAAAAGGATCAGCAGCTTTGAGAGTTTGTTAAAAATGCAGAACCTCAGGCTGAGACCCAGAGCTGTGGAATCAGAATCTGCATTTTAACAAGTTGCCCACGTGTTTGAAAATCGTGCTCTCGGAGGCTTACAGACTCCTTGGAACGGCATTCAGGGTTCCCCGCCCCCCCGCCACCAAAAACTTCTCCTACCTTGTCCACAGGTATGAATGCATGGTATTTGCCCTTTAAACACAGTTTCTTTTTCCTGGAACACCTTGTCTCGTGAGACTCCTGCTGAAGGTTAGATTTGAACATTGCCTCCTATGGGGTCCACTTCTTGCTCTGGAGCCCCATGTCCTCTGGACCCCTCTCTATCCTAGCTTCCGTTACACGGAAATGTTACACCTAAGACCTTGTCATTTTTAGCAACTATTTCTCCCACTAGCCAGTGAACGCCTTGAGACAAAGCCTGCATCTTACACACTTCCATATCCTCAGTGCTCAGCACAAGTCAAATGTTTATTGAATGAGAGAAACAGCTTTTCCTCCATGGAGGCCCTTCCAAGTAGATTTGAAGTGGGTATTGCAAAGGGGCCATCCAAATGCCAGAGCCACAGTATGTTGGGACGGGGCAGTCAGAGAACATCTAGTTATCTAGTTTTTGTTTTTGTTTTTTTTCCAGACAGAGTCTCACTCCTGTCACCCAGGCTGGGGTACAGTGGAACAATCTTAGCTCACTGCAGCCTTGACTTCCCTGGGCTCAGGTAATCCTCCCACCTCAGCCTCTTGAGTGTCTGGGACAATAGGCATGCACCACCACACCTGGCTGATTTTTTGTATTTTTAGTAGTTATGGGGTTTTGGCGTGTTGCTTAGGCTGGTCAAGAACTCCTGGGCTCAAACTATCTGCCCATCTTAGCCTCCCAAAATGCAGGGATTACAGGCATGAGCCACTGCACCTGGCTGGAAAATCTAGTTCAAATGCATTTGTTATTTATGAAGAAAGGCCCCAGAAGGAAAAGTGACTTAACTCCAGATTCCTCTGCTGGAGAGATGTAACCTGAGTCACTATTGATTCACGCTTTGCCCTTTCTCAAGCCAAGTGCCCTTAATTGTGATAAGCAGAGAAATAAAAATCAAAGTGAGTCACAGATGAATGAGCACATAATGGAGATTGTTTTGTGTTAAAGATGGGGTCTCACTATATTGCCCAGGCAGGTTTTGAACTCCTGGGCTCAAGCAATCCTCCTGCCTCAGTCTCCCAAGTAGCTGGGACTATAGCTGCACAATTTGTAAAGTTTGAAAACATGAGGCTGGGCATGGTGGCTCACACATGTAATCCTAGCACTTTGGGAGGCCAAGCAGATGGATCACCCGAGGTTGGGAGTTCGAGACCAGCCTGACCAACATGGAGAAACCCTGTCTCTACTAAAAATACAAAATTAGCTGGGTGTGGTGGCGCATGCCTGTAATCCCAGCTA